TAATTCTGAAATATTTAACCATTACTATATCTCGAAGAACTAAAAAAAAAATTAAAAAACACCAAAGAATACAGTGTAGGCAGGCACGAAGTGCGAACTGAATTTTTCTTTGTATAAAAATATATTTGTTGCAATATGCAGAATTGTGCTACAGCCACTTTATTGAAATTTAATTTATTTTTCGTTGCGAACAAGAACAAGAACAACAAGAAAGAAAGCAAACTTCGGCAAGCCGAAGTTCATATACCCTTGCAGCTATTGCAAGAATTTAACATTTTTGAAAACATTAAAATTATGATTTACTTCGTATATGTTTAAAAACATTGAAGCTATGATAATTAGCAGCTCAATTATTTGATAGTTATTTTATATATTTTCTATTATTTCTATGGGAGCTATATGATATAGACATCCGATTTTGATAAAATCTAAACCATAATTCTGAAATATGTAACCATTGCTTTTTGTCGAAGAACTGAACAAAAAATAAAAAAACAGAAAAGTTATAATTTTTTTCATTTATTTTTCCGATTGTTCCTATGGGAGCTTTATGCTATAGTGGTCCGATTTTGATATAATTTAAACCGTAAATCGAAAATATTTAACCATTACTAAGTGTCGAAGGACTAAACAAAAAATTAAAAAACAGAAAAGTTATAATTTTTTTCATTTATTTTTCCGATTGTTCCTATGGGAGCTATATGCTATAGTCCGATCCGGCTCGTTCCGACTTATATACTACCTGCAATAGAAAGACAACTTTTGGGAAAGTTTCATGCAGATAGCTTTAAAACTGAGAGACTAGTTTGCATATAAACGGACGGACAGACGGACGGACAGACGGACATGGCTAGATCGACTCTACTAGTGATGATGATCAAGAATATATATACTTTATAGGGTCGGAAACGTCTCCTTCACTGCGTTGCAGCTTCTGACTGAAATTATAATACCCTCTGCAAGGGTATAACAAGAAGCCCACTTACATGTTTATTTTATTGGCTGCTTCTTCGGTGACGTTTCTGCTCTTCGTGCGGGCCGCGGGGCCGGTCGGTGGCAACGGCTTCCGTTGACGGTTGTCGTACCCTCGAGCGGGGCGAGGGGTTTGGTTGATGAAGGCGGCTACTGCTGGCGGTTGTCGTACCCTCGAGCGGGGCGAGGGGTTTGGCTGGCGGCAGTGGCTTCGTTGACTTCTGTCGTACCCTCGAGCGGGGCGAGGGGTTTGGTTGGCAGCGGCGCCTAGTCGGTTGTTTTTAAACAAAAAAAAAATTTTTCCAGTAGCAGCAGTATGACTTGTAACTACTTTTTACTTCTCACGGTTGCTCCGTTTTCTAAGTGTGTGTTTTTTATTTCATTCGTTTTGTTCACTTTATGAACTATGATGATTTTTTTTTTTTTAAAACCTTTTTATTTTTTTACACTTGCAATTTAGTGTTATTTATTTTTAACTCCGGCTTTTCGTGGTTGTTTAACTTTTTTGGGTGTGAATTGTGTTGTTCACTTTATTATTTTTTGAACTAATATTTTTTACTCTTGCAGTGTGATTTGTAAGTTTAAATTCTGGCGTTTGCCAGTTGTTTTATTCACTTTTTTGGGTGTGATTTTTGTTGTTCACTTTATTACTTTTTTGTTTGTTGGGTTCTTTAGTTTAGTTGGGTGCCAATTAATGAATTGTGTTCTTTATATTTTTATATTTCCTTTATTTCCATACACCCGTTAGGGCATAGGTTAATTATTCGGATTTATAACGAAGCTTAAGCCCCGGAGTACAATTTTAGACTGACTTATAAATTACCGCGGCTGCAACTCCAGGCCTCCCTTGGGCTCCTTTGCCGTGATACTTGCTGCTGTTGTTGGCGGTTGCCTCGCCTGATTGAGCATTTTTGTACGAATTTTATATTAAACACCACCAGCCAAACAATCACTTTGGATGCCAAACTAGGAATGGCGGCTAATGACGCTGCAATAAAGGCGGCAACCTATCTCCCCACCTAATTGGAGAAATTCTCTCACTCAGACTTGACTAACCTGGTTGTTCTGTTTGTAATTTAGCCATCCCCTGGCTTCTTCTTAATTTTTTAAAAGGAAATGATAATTTGAAATATTTGTTTAAACTTGTTTGTCAGCGGGACTGACTTTATAAAATTTCGTCAGTAGAGATTCGGAAGGTTGTCGCAAGCAAGAGGTTCGGCGAAGTTGGCCTGGAGGTGCAACAGAACCCTGCGCAGCGACCTAAAGTGGTGGTCAGCAATGTGGATACGGCTACGACGCCGGCGGAATTCATGAAGGAGCTCTTCAAGAACAATTTCGCCGAAGTGATGGACTTGGCTGCCTTTGAGAAAGCGGTGCACCTGGAGAAGCCGTGGACTGCAGCTGATGGCGCCACAGTAAATATGACGCTTGAAGTGAATTCCACTGCTTTGGCGATACTGGACGGAAGCAGGGCGTATATCGGCTGGTTTGCTTATAACTGCCGAGCGCTGGTGCGCACATATGCGTGCCACAGATGCGTTGGCTTTGACCACAAAGTCGCGCAGTGCCGGTATAAGGAGAACGTGTGCCGCCAGTGCGGACAGGCCGGCCACAGTGCGCGAGGCTGCACAAATCCGACGGACTGCCGGAATTGCCGATTCAAGGGCTACCCGTCGGAGCATCATATGCTGTCGCCGGGTTGTCCTGTGTATGCGGCGGTGCTGGCAAGGGTGAATGCCAGACATTAATGTTTAGCTTCATCCAAGCAAACTGTGGTCGTGGCGAAGTTGCGATGTCCGACGCTTTAGACAGAATGTGATAGTCAAAATGCCTGTTCGCACTGCTACAGGAGCCGTACCTCGGAGCCGAGTTTTTGGAAAGGCTGCCCGCAGGGCAAAGGCTCTTTTCTGATCCGAGTGGAAACGCAGCCATTGCTGTGGACCATCACGATGTCATCTGCGTGCCAGTGGAGCCCCTCACCAATGATCTTGGCGTATGCGTGAAGCTGCAAGGGAGTTTTGGCTCAATCTTCCATTGCTCCGCATACTGTCGGGTCGGTTTTCCGCCAGAGCCGTACCTCAGATACATGGATGCCTTCCTGCTGCAAGTCAGCAGAACTCCCGCAATACTTGGACTGGATGCGAATTCAGCATTCCCCATGTGGTTTAGCAAACTCTCGCTTTGCTGAGAGACACGCAAACTACTCTCGGGGTGAGCTGCTGTCTGAGTAGATACTGGAGAAGGGAGCCATTGCCCTTAACTAGCCTAGCGAGGTTTACACGTTCAATAACATGAGAGGATTCCACAGCGATATTGATATCAAGTTATCAGTACACAAAACTAAATTTTAACTTTTCGAAAATTTTCTTTTGCAGGAATTTGCCGTTAAATATTAAAACACAAGAGGCAAATTTAATTCTTTTACAAATAATTAACGGATAATTAACGGCGATTTCCTGCAAAAGAAAATTTTCGAAAAGTTTAAGTTAATGGGGGTGTACTGCTTAGCTTGATATCAAGTTAAAATAATTTACGGATAATTAACGGCAATTCCGTGTAAATAAAATAAAATGTTGAAAAAGTTAAAGTTTAGTTTTGTGTATATATCAAGTTAGAACATTGGATAACTTTTAAAACAATTGAGCGGAAAATTTTTTTCCCTTACAAATTAACGGCAAATTATGGTTAAAAAAAATTTTTGATTTTGAAAGTTGTACTGCTACTTTCATGGACATGGTGGAAAAGTAGTCATCCGCAGCAGAACGCGAAGGTCTGGAGCGGAAGGGCCGGCAGAACGACGACGCTGCCGCTGAGAAATATGGGGATGGGGTCGCCTCGATGACAGGCGGTCGACCGATATTTGCAATCGATGGGTACTAGAAAATACTGGATTTCTTAATGAACGGTCACACCGATGCAGTCCTGGCAACTTATGACAACGATATCGATAACGGCAACGACAATGACAATGTTGAACCACACTATCGATAAACGCGAACGGGACGTGTTGAGTAGAGTGGCCAGACTACGGGAAACGAACTAGTGATTTCACAACGGGGAACTGTCTGGGCGGGAAATTCAAATTCCACCCAGGGAACTCTCTAGGGAACGAGATGCAGTTTTAGGTAAGTAAAAGTCTTTCGGGGAACTGTCTGGGTAACTGAGAAAGGGCTAACGCAGCGCTGCCGTGAGAAAGTTAAAGGACTTTCAGGGCGCTTGCTAAGGGAAGTCTTACGGAGAACAGTCTGGGAAAGTTTTGGGGAACTGTCTGGGGATCACAGGGAGAACGAGTTTGGCGGGGAATTTGATAGAACGAACTACAGGGGCGGGGAAATCACGTTTCCGAAGAAAGGGGGAAATGTGAGGAATTTTGATTTTATAAAAATGTTCTTGATAATAAAATATTTTTCTGTTGGTGTTTTAGTTAGTGAACAAAATTTGTATGTTACGCCGCCCAGAGTAGAAGGTTCATCATTTTAGTTGATTTTCCGAATGAGTTCGATGGTTTTAGGTTTATAGGTGTGCATGGTGATTTCACCGTATTGTTCCCATGGGAGCTATGGGATATAGATGTCCGATCGGCACGCGCATTTACCCTGAAAAAATACGATACGTCAATAGCTTTTACACTGTGCGAAATATCTTCAGTTCCTGCAAATTATATATGATTTTTTCTATAGGAGTAATGAATGCTAGTACCATTTTTTATTACATTCTCAATTGAGAAATGCTACCAAAATAAAATATCGTCAGATTTTTCAAAAGTAATGCCAACATTTAAATATTTTATATCACAAGTTTTGGGAAATCTAAATATATATGTTTTAGTAGGCTTAGCGTATGCTAACCTGCTGCCGGAATTGTTTTTCCCACTATGCCCACTGACGCTAATTCGATGGTGAAGCATTGCCTTGATGCTGCTTCGAGGGTCGCGAGCGAGCTTTCCTAAATAAGGGAATTGCTAAGGGCTACCCTTTGGAGCATCATATGCTGTCGCCGGGTTGCCCTGTGTAAATTAATGGATTGTGTTCTTTATATTTTTATATTTCCTTTATTTCCATACACCCGTTAGGGCATAGGTTAATTATTCGGATTTATAACGAAGCTTAAGCCCCGGAGTACAATTTTAGACTGACTGATAAATTACCGCGGCTGCAACTCCAGGCCTCCCTTGGGCGACGGCGCAGTCGCGTTAGTGCAGGGTCAGCACTTTGTGTCTGCCCAGCAACGATCACTCGTCGCAGGCGTGCTGGAGTTGGGCAGGCAGCGTTAGCCCCGGAATGCGCTGTCAGCTAATTTGGCCTTGCGTTTGTGGGCTATTGTATCCGGTGCGCAATTCGGCAGATTTTCTGCATTTCGGTTGCGCGTGTTAACTCCTCCCGCCTTTAAGTGGTCGCCGTCCCGGTGACCTGTCGCCTCCACGTCGCAGTTGTTTCTAGTTTTGAGGCTGTGCTTGGCTGTCCGATGATGATGGATGAGCCAGGTCGCAAAGCATAGAGAGATAGCGGCGAAGAAAATTACGGCATTGGTGGTAAACGATCCGGTTGTCATCCTTTCTCTCAGAGCGCCGATGTGGTGGAGATTTGTTAGGCTCAGTTCATGGAGTAACGGAAGACTGAGTCGATTTTGGTGGGCCGTAATGTTTACCAAGGTCATGGCTGAGACAGCGGGTTTCTTTCTTGAGCTTCCCAGTTGGTTAGTGTACCAAGTTCCATTTATTGATAGGCTGTTAGAGTAGGTTACAAGGTACGAACCGGATATTTCTTGTTTAAGCCCAAGGTCGTCGACTATAGTCACTTTGGCATCGTTGATGATAAGCGTACCATGATCTATTGTGGTAACCGGATCTAAATGCCCAGGTAGGGTGGATCACTGTGGAGTGACCCCAGAAACCATTTGCTGTGGGCAGGTGTCGCCTTGCAGTTCCTTGCAGAAAGTAGCGCCTACTGTGGCCATACAGCTTCCGATGTTGACGATTCGTGTTGCGCATTCGGCGACCAAGTCCCCATTTTCGAAGTTCAGAATTTTGTTGTTGTGCTGAACTGGGTAGACTGTAATTTTTCTACATACTAACATAGACTTAGGAAATTTAATAAGGAAATGGATTATTTCAGAATTTTGAAAAACGCTTATGCTAGATACTTCTAAAATTTCTACTAAACTGATGTTAGTGGGCTGTTTGTTCTTGAATTCGCTAATGTCGCTGTTATGTAGGATGGCTGGGCTTGCAATGTTAAGCTTTGCTAGGGTTAGGCCCATCAAAACATTTTCTAGGTCTGTGATAACTATTCTGTTTTTTGCCAAGATGATTTCTAAAAGATGTGCTTCTTCGTCTCTGTCTACGTTTTTTATACCCTTGCAGAGGGTATTATAATTTCAGTCAGAAGTTTGCAACGCAGTGAAGGAGACGTTTCCGACCCTATAAAGTATATATATTCTTGATCAGCATCACTAGTAGAGTCGATCTAGCCATGTCCGTCTGTCCGTCCGTCTGTCCGTCGGTCCGTCCGTTTATATGCAAACTAGTCTCTCAGTTTTAAAGCTATCTGCATGAAACTTTCCCAAAAGTTGTCTTTCTATTGCAGGTAGTATATAAGTCGGAACGAGCCGGATCGGACGACTATAGCATATAGCTCCCATAGAAACAATCGGAAAAATACTTGAAAAAAAATTATAACTTTGCTGTTTTTTAATTTTTTGTTTAGTTCTTCGACATATAGCAATGGTTAAATAATTCAGAATTATGGTTTAAATTTCATCAAAATCGGACGACTATAGCATATAGCTCCCATAGGAACAATCGGAAAAATAATTGAAAAAAAATTATAACTTTGCTGTTTTTTAATTTTTTGTTTTGTTCTTCGACATAAAGCAATGGTTAAATATTTCAGAATTATGGTTAAAATTTCATCAAAATCGGAAGACTATAGCATATAGCTCCCATAGGAACAATCGGAAAAATAATTGAAAAAAATTATAACTTTGCTGTTTTTTAATTTTTTTTTAGTTCTTCGACATATAGCAATGGTTAAATATTTCAGAATTATGGTTTAAATACGCAAGTAAATCATAATTTTAATGTTTTCAAAAATATTTAATTCTTGCGATAGCTGCAAGGGTATATGAACTTCGGCTTGCCGAAGTTAGCTTTCTTTCTTGTTTTTGATTCATGGAATTTATGAGTGCATTTAATCTTTCTTGAAATTTAATATTTAATTCAGTTTGCCCTTCCTCGGTGTTAAATAATTGCTCCTGATTGAATTTAATTTTTCCCCAGTCATCAAAGTCGGGGGTTCCCGCAATAACCTTGAGTGCTGTTCCGACAAGGTTAATGCTTCTAGTATCCCTGTGATGGATTTTCAGGGTAGCGATCAGCTTGCGAATATGTCTTAGGTCCGTAATTATTACCTGCGTCCTATGGTCATCTTTAAGAGTTTCTGTCATTGTTTCTGTTTGGTCCGCATAGTCTTCGTAGGATGTCAAGTTTGTAGCGTGTTGTAGGTATCCGTAACTGTCCCAGATTACAATGTCACCGTCTACTATTGGAATGTAGTCCGCGTTCGTGTAGTTGTTGAGTTCAACTGTCGCGTTTGTCGTTACAGCCGTAAGTGTAAGTAGTAAGAAATATTTCGTAAACCTAAAAGAAAATTTGAAAGTGATAAATTTAATTTAGATTGTTTTATATATATATCTCTTTATTTTTCATACTCAGATTGAATATGTCCTTTAGCAAGTCAGAAGAAGTGGACGGAAGCCATAACATGAGTTACAGATCGTTGGTAAAGAATGGATTTTTTAATTATTTGCGCGACTTCTGACAACGCAATAGTGCCCTGAGCTGGCCGGAAATCGCAAGGGAGGGGGCCCGGTCCTGGAAACATCTGAGCGAGGAGGAAAAGAGTCGCTACCAAATCATGTCCAGCACTGACACGGACATCGTTGCCTTGCAAATGAACAATGAGATGTGCAACCATCCAATGGGCAGAATGGGCGGCGGCATGAAGGGGAAATCTTGCGCCAAGCCCAGAAAAGCCTCTGCTCGGCAAAAGAAGTCCTGTGCCATGCAACGAAGAAAGATGGCCTGTGCCAAGCCCAAAATAAGGGCGGTCTGTGTCAAGCCCTGAAAGGCGGCCTGTGCTAAGCCCAGGAGGTCGGTTTGTGCCAGGCCAAGGAAGCCGAAATGCGAGAGTAACTGCACCAAGCCGGGTCCAGTCATCAACAACGGGTATCTGAACTTTGTGCGTGAGTTCCGCAAGAGGAACTGTGACCTCAGTCCACAGAAACTGATCGCGAAGGCCGCCCGAGCTTGGCAGTGTTTGCCCGAGGAGGAAAAGGATCGCTTTCGCCGCATGGTAAGTCGTTTTCGTAAGCTTGGACTTGAATATAGGTTTTATTTCGCTCCCTTACAGGCCTGCAGGGTGGCCACCAGTCCGCGTCATAAGCGTCGCCGTGTTTGCAATATGCACTGAAATTCCCTCGATCGATCGAGTCATGCCATAAAATCCATTGAAGTCCACGTATCCTGTTTGATGAGTTGATATTGCGACTTCTGCCTGCAGGTCGAGATAATTTTTAAAAATATATTATTTCGATAATAAATGCCTTAAATCCATCTTATAACTACAAGATACACTGGTTTCTAAGATTTATAGCCATGGGATATGCCAATTATGTGACTATTCTGTTTTGTTTAACTTAAATAATCGTTTTATTAAACAATTTGATTATTTTTTGTGGTATTGAACAGAAAGCAGTTAGGGTTGAGGCATTTGAAGTAGGCTTTAATAAAATATACTTTTGATGGCTTCAGAATATGTAGAATGGTTCAAAGGCATGTAAAAGAAAATAAATCAGTGAAAACAAACAATCCAACGATCAAAGTTCCAATTTTGGTTTAATGCAGTGTAATTAAGGAATGTAAGATGAAATTTAATAGAATTAAATGTAGGGGAGGCTGAGAACATCTTGGTTGGCAGTGATGTTGGAGTTCTCTTCTGGGCGTTAGTGTGATTGATGAACAGGGTTTCATTTATCATGGCCTGTTTATCGAAGGTGATAAGGTGAGTACCATGTATCCAGACTTCTGTCCCATTGTCCACTCGAACATTGGCAGACCTGTCGTTGATAATTACGATCCCTTCGTCCACGTATGTGATTGGGTGCAGGTCGCTCTGTTGTGTTCGACAATGCGTCATCCCCCCAGCATACAGTTCTTTGGCGCATGAACTCTCTGCCAAACGGCAGAATGTGGCTCCCGGTGACACGGAGCAGTTTTTAATGGCGTGAATTTCTCCGCCGCATTCCGCTATAATGTTGTCTGTTATCTGCAGCATTGTCTCACTATGAGCGACTGGAAAAATAGTTATCTTCTTGCATGCTAGTTTTAATTTAGGAAATTTTATGATAAAATGTAAAACGTTAACGGACTGCAGAACCTTCACGGACGAAACGGACAAAAGATCCCCTATGGGAGTGTCGGTGGGTTCCTCAAGCCAAACTGATTTTAAGTCTTCGTGGTCTAAAATGTTCGGACTAACAATATTAATTTTGGCAAGGGTTATTCCGGCCTCCGGTTCCTCGCTGATTAAGTGACTTTTCGACAGGACTCAACTCTGCGGTCTCTGTGGCAGGCACTCACTACATCAGTTTCCCTTCATGCAGGACAAACTAATTTTATTGCACTTAATAGTGGGCATAGTGGACAAAAATGGGCAGTTGAGAGGGGAGCGCCAATAACGATCCACTTATATATATATATCTCTTTATTTTTCATACACAGATTGAATATGTCCTTTAGCAAGTCAGAAGAAGTGGACGGAAGCCATAACATGAGTGACAGATCGTTGGTAAAGAATGGATTTTTTAATTATTTGCGCGACTTCTGTCAACGCAATAGTGCCCTGAGCTGGCCGGAAATCGCAAGGGAGGGGGCCCGGTCCTGGAAACACCTGAGCGAGGAGGAAAAGAGTCGCTACCAAATTATGTCTAGCACTGACACGGACATCGTTGCCTTGCAAATGAACAATGAGATGTGCAACCATCCAATGGGCAGAATGGGCGGCGGAATGAAGGGGAAATCTTGGCAACCCCCAATAAAATTCAAAAGCTCATTTTCTCCTTGGATGGTAAGTAAACAAAATAAAATCTAACTAATTCAATTCTTATATTAATACAATTTGTATTTCTTAGAAGACGACTTTGTGATGGAAACCCCGCAAAACAGCGGGGACCCATAGCAGGAAACCCGCCAAAGGACCAAATCGAAGAGCTGAAGGTTTGGGTTCGAGATTGGCAGGGAAAAGTGGATGCCAATACAAAGACCCTAGAAGCTAATACGAACCAGTTAGCTGAGTGCACCCAGCAGATTGAAAGTCCAAGGATGCAGAGGTACACGATTCGTTCCCGATCCAAAGTGAGGAGCAGCTGGTGACGTTGGAGCTTAATATATGGTCGTCTACTAAAACCGTCTATAGTAAAATATTTATGAAGAAAATGACACGGTATGGGCCAAGGAGCACCATCTTTCCAAGGCAGCAGAAGGATTCGCGGCGAAACTGGCCTCCAGATACGACTCTCCGGTAGTCTCAACTAATCCTGCGTATCGCAGGAGCAATGTACCCTAACCGAAGAAAGGGGGAGGACGATACACGGTATCGAAATTAACGGTCAAGCACACACACACACATCAGGAGCGCGAGAGCGGGACAGGGAGGGTTTAAAAAGCCGTAAGCACCGTTACTGGCTAAACGCACGCAGCAGACGGTCACGTGGACGTGGCCCGCGCTCGACGAGGCAGCGGAGGAGGCCCGGATGTGGGAGGCAGTCGAGGCCATCGATTGGCAGCGCCCACCGCCGATGCACCCGCGCGATCCGCGAGCCAAGTTGGCGAAACGCGTCGCGGAGACGGTCGGTCGCGAGAAGCAGAAGGCGACGCACGAGGAGGAGCGCGAGGCCTAGGAGCCCCCGAAGGTTCTGGAGAAGGGGCCGTGGGAGTGGCCAACAACGCCGGAGACGTCGCGGGACGCGCCACCACCCCCGAAGCTTCCGCGGCAGTCCTCGTCCAAGGCTACCGTCGTCGC